GTCTTTATTATGGAATTGAGAAAGATATTGAATCGAACAACCCAGCAAGAAAATACAGACATTGAAGTAAAACAATTGTTTATAAAATTTCTCTTAAATGATTATCCGAAGTATATTCTTTGTAAGTTGTACAATTTATATTTAAAATGTAGATTTAATGTTAAAAATGACATAGAAGATATTTCGTATGTAAAGTTTCCTTATGTTACTAATGTTTTTGATAAATATAAACCGATTAAAGAATTTTTTTTATACATAGTTGCGCATCAAAACAATAAAATGTCAAACATTATCAGCATAATAAACAGTGAAAATTCGCCCAGAGACCAATTTAAGATCGCCCGTGTCGTATACAGAATGTCATGTACATGTGGATATCAAAATTATTACATTGGAGAAACCGGAAGAAGATTGGAGTTGAGAATAAAGGAACATAAGGCGGCCATTAGACTGAGAAGAACAAAATAAGCATGGTTTTTACATTATAGAGAATTTAACGGTAATATAAATGAAAAAAATACTAAAATACTGTATAAAATAGAAAATGATTTATAAAGAAAAATTGTAGAATATTTTTGTATCGCCGAACATGTAAATGTACTTAATTTGAATGCTGGAATGATTGTTGATGCTACATTTCACTATACCTTTAAAATGCAGTCTACTTTTGTCAGTTCTCTAACGTTTTCGGTCTAATTTATAGACCTTCTTCAGGATTGATGTAAAATATTTTAAAAATTTGAACTTTCTCAACGGTAATTCGAACCACGCACGTTCTATAATCTTCAGATATTCGATCGCGCATGCCCATTAGCTCTTTATAATGCCGCCGCTCTCCATGCCGTTGCTATTCTACTTGACTCTCGAAAATTTATATTAAGCCCCTTTTCTCTGTATTTATAAATGTGCCATGCCTCTGCATACTTTAGATGTCGTATATTATCGATCTTTTGTACAATATCCGCCTTGCTCCATTCGATTGTAATCTCTGCAGGATCCGCGATAGCATAATTGGCCAAAGCCGTGATCGGTTGTTTAGATCTTATATTTTTTTCGTGCTCCTTCAATCTTTCTCTTAATGATCTCTTTGTGGCTCCTATATAATATAACTCTTTCTTTAGCCTTTTATCATGCAACGGTATTCTGTACACACCTGGAACTAGCCTCCTGTCTATTGGTGTTTTGTCATTTCTTAGCATTTGGAATATTGTCGTGTTTCTCTTATATGCTATTTTCTTTTTGCTCTCTACTCCTATTTTTCTGTATATGCCACTTAACGGTGCTCTGTATTCCATTACGGTGAACTCCTTTTTTTCTTTCTTATCTTTAGTCTTATTGCATCCTTTTTCCGCTTCTTGTATTAAGGCTTTTACTTTACTTTGCTTAAGTCCTACATCTCTTGCTAATTTTGCAATGTAATCAAGTTCTTTACGTGTGTCATACATCCTGCTACAATGAGTGTATGCTCGTTTAATAAGTGCTCTAAACGCTGCTAGTTTGTAGTTTGTTGGGTCATGCGAGGACCATGGTATCAAATCCGGAACGTACGTCGGTTTTCTATACACTTTTGTAACAATTTGCTCTTTATCATCTATTTCAACCTCTATATCCAAGAAGTGTACTCTTTTTTGATCTTGCTGCTCTAGTTCTAATTCCAAGCCATACTTATTGTTGTTTATATCTCTAATAAATTGTCGTATGTCTGGTTTATCATTCCAAATAATCAATACGTCGTCGACGTACCTTGCATACATTATCATTTTATCTTCATACTTCTGCAGTACGCTATTTTCCAGAGATCTTATTACCATCTCGCACAGTAAGCCTGAAACCGGGCTACCCATTGGTACTCCTCTAAGTTGCGAGTATGCAGTACCGTCAAAAACGAAAATTGACGAGAATGTAGCTAAATGCGCCAGTTCTAGGATTTGTTTTCTTAACTTCGCTGCGTTGTCGATATTGCCCAGTAAAAAATCTCTTAAGTGACAAAAGCATGGTTCAAGCTTAATTGAAGGGTACATAGCCTTAAAATCGAGCACCGTCATGTATCTTATTTCGTTAACTTTCAGTTGTTTCAACTTCTGGAGCACTTCTAATGGTTGCTTTACGTTATAAATGTGGGGAGGCATGTTCGTATTAATAAATTCCTTAAGTTTCCTTTCTAATAATATCGTAGGAGCACAGCATTTATCTACTACTGGCCTCAAGCTTCTTTCAGATTTATGCGTTTTAGCAAATCCGAATAGCCTCGGCATGGCTGGGGATGAAGTTATTATTCTCGTCATACCTAGTTGCTTAGCTAAAGTTGTCGTAGAGAAACGTTTTATTCTTGCTTGTAACCTTTCCAAGGCCTTTGGGTGTGCTTTTTTGCATTCCGTGTCTCTTATGTACGTCGTTAAAAGCTCCTTATATGTGTCCCTCTTCATTAAGACCATATTTTTTGACTTGTCAGCTCTTGTAAGCACTATACCGTTATCGCACATCCATTGCTTACTTTCTCTTATATTTTTCCAGACTGCGTCTTGCGTCGATCTTGCAATTTCATTGTTTATTTTAAAAACTGTTCTTCATCTAAAAGCCTCTTTTTTAAGCTCGCTAAGCCCTTCTATCGCTTGCTCGACATCAGGGATAATTTTTTCATACGTAAGCTTAGGGCGAGGTACGTACTTGGGGCCAAATTTGCAAGCCTCCTTCACGCACGTTGGTGGTGCTACATTATCCCAACATACTATTGCCGATACTGTTTGCGGTCTTGTGTTTCTTTGTTGTTTTGCTCTTATCCATCCCATTTTCTTCTTATAATTCAAACTCAACCTTTCTGTGACTTGATCCGCTAAGTTTACTACTCTGCTATTAACGTTATCAAGTAATTCCGGATCTATTTCATACAGTTGATTTTCTACTTCTATTAGTTTTTCTATCAAATGACGGTGCTCGATTTTAAGGCCATGCTTTTGTCACTTAAGAGATTTTTTACTGGGCAATATCGACAACGCAGCGAAGTTAAGAAAACAAATCCTAGAATTGGCGCATTTAGCTACATTCTCGTCAATTTTCGTTTTTGACGGTACTGCATACTCGCAACTTAGAGGAGTACCAATGGGTAGCCCGGTTTCAGGCTTACTGTGCGAGATGGTAATAAGATCTCTGGAAAATAGCGTACTGCAGAAGTATGAAGATAAAATGATAATGTATGCAAGGTACGTCGACGACGTATTGATTATTTGGAATGATAAACCAGACATACGACAATTTATTAGAGATATAAACAACAATAAGTATGGCTTGGAATTAGAACTAGAGCAGCAAGATCAAAAAAGAGTACACTTCTTGGATATAGAGGTCGAAATAGATGATAAAGAGCAAATTGTTACAAAAGTGTATAGAAAACCGACGTACGTTCCGGATTTGATACCATGGTCCTCGCATGACCCAACAAACTACAAACTAGCAGCGTTTAGAGCACTTATTAAACGAGCATACACTCATTGTAGCAGGATGTATGACACACGTAAAGAACTTGATTACATTGCAAAATTAGCAAGAGATGTAGGACTTAAGCAAAGTAAAGTAAAAGCCTTAATACAAGAAGCGGAAAAAGGATGCAATAAGACTAAAGATAAGAAAGAAAAAAAGGAGTTCACCGTAATGGAATACAGAGCACCGTTAAGTGGCATATACAGAAAAATAGGAGTAGAGAGCAAAAAGAAAATAGCATATAAGAGAAACACGACAATATTCCAAATGCTAAGAAATGACAAAACACCAATAGACAGGAGGCTAGTTCCAGGTGTGTACAGAATACCGTTGCATGATAAAAGGCTAAAGAAAGAGTTATATTATATAGGAGCCACAAAGAGATCATTAAGAGAAAGATTGAAGGAGCACGAAAAAAATATAAGATCTAAACAACCGATCACGGCTTTGGCCAATTATGCTATCGCGGATCCTGCAGAGATTACAATCGAATGGAGCAAGGCGGATATTGTACAAAAGATCGATAATATACGACATCTAAAGTATGCAGAGGCATGGCACATTTATAAATACAGAGAAAAGGGGCTTAATATAAATTTTCGAGAGTCAAGTAGAATAGCAACGGCATGAAGAGCGGCGGCATTATAAAGAGCTAATGGGCATGCGCGATCGAATATCTGAAGATTATAGAACGTGCGTGGTTCGAATTACCGTTGAGAAAGTTCAAATTTTTAAAATATTTTACATCAATCCTGAAGAATGTCTATAAATTAGACCGAAAACGTTAGAGAACTGACAAAAGTAGACTGCATTTTAAAGGTATAGTGAAATGTAGTAATTAATTAATGCAGTTAGAGATTTAGTAATTGATTGTTGATGCATGCTGGGAACGACTGTTGGGCATGAAGCGTGACCAGCGATTAACATCTTGATGTATCCACTGAGCAGGCCTGATGGCGAAATGCATTTAGATCGTATTAATAAAATAATGATTGTTTTTTGCCATTTGTTTGTCGTGTTTTGGGTCATAGAATCCTCGAAGTCATAAATAGAAAAAGTATAATTTTACTTGTTTTTAAGCTAAAATTTTTTTTTATTTTGAGTGTGTTGAAATTAAAATGGCAGGTGTCTTAAAGAAAGGTAGTTGTAAGGAGCTAAAAAAAGCGCAAAGAGACAGCAGGCTCAAAAAAATGGTGCTCACTGGACCTGCTATAACTAGCAAAAACTAAAAATGAAGATTTAATCGCGATAATATTTTGCACGCATAATGTAGTTATGTTTTTGATATTTACTGAAAACCAAAGTAAAATATAAAATTGAAAAATATCATTTACACTTTGTAATAATCTTAAATGATGTTAACATTCTAAGAAGAAACTCAGTAAACATTTATTTTGATACATTAATTAAATATGTAAAGAGTATTTTGCGTTTTATTCGTAGCTGTGATAAAAGCTTTTTCTTTTCAATCGACGTAAATAATCTAATGATTCGGTTAAAACAAGCTAAAACGACTTTTTTACCTTTTCTAGGGCCGTTATATGCAAGATTTTTCGATATTTGTCTTCCTGATATTTTTCTCCAAACAAGATATTTTCTTTGATTGTTGCGTTAAATACCCAAGGTTCTTGAGAAGCGTAAGCGATCTTTCCTTTCACCGACACTTCACCGAAAGTGATTGGAATCTCTCCCAACATCGTCATTAACAAAGACGTCTAAGTAAATTAATAAATCGTTTTATTAATTAATTTGAAATACACTACATTTAAAATGTAATTACAAAAACAACTGCAAAATTTTTCTAACAAAATGTTTATGTTATTATTAATTAACTACTTTTAAATAACATGTATATATAAAGAAAAGTACAGTACACATCATTATCTAATTACTGAAAATTGCAATTAGTTCTGTGACAATGCTGCGCATTTCTATAAATGCATTTTTTATCTGTTATAAATAATAAATAATAATAGTAACACAAATTAATATAACATATACGTATTGTATACAGTGGGGTGGGTATACGATCTATGATTATTTTTATATTTAATTATTTTTTTATTGAATTTCCATATTCAACATTACGACTGTGAGTATAAAAATTCAAAATGAGAAAGAAATCTGCAATATTAAATTTATAGTTCGCATACCAGCTTGTACATACAATACGTATCTTCTATGTGTTAATGATTATGTTATATTAATTGATGTTAGTACAGTATTATTATTTATATTCCATCCAATATAACATTTCTTTATGAACCATTGCAAATGAGATGCGTGTGGAAGCAATAAAGTCCTTCATATAATATCGACAATTACGGCAAAGAAGGAAGTTATCGCTTAACGTGAAAGAGATACAGTACATTTGTGTGGATCTGGCGACAATGGATAACAGGTCGAATTCCATTATGTACTGTTAATGCAATTGTCATTTTATTTTACAGTATTTACGTATTTTGTTTATTGTTTTCGTATTTCAATTTATTATTATAGCATTTAATTGTGTTATTTTACATTGATTAAAGTGTATTTGATGTTTTAATTTTATGGAGATGAGTATTGTTCGGGATCCGGCAATGAATGAAATCCGTTTCCGTTATTTTTAATAGAAAAAAAAATGGTTCGGACTTCGACCGGCCTCCTAGACTTAATTAAATTCGAAGTACGATGCACCACTGTTTTCTAAACAATTTGAAAATAACACAGAATATAATTCGTTTAAAATGTAAAACTGCAAAAACGAAATATTTACCTTTCCTGATCCAACAGGACCTACAACAATTAACCGTTCTCCAGTCTTCATGGCGAACGAAATCTGATTCAATGATGGCTCCGACTCCTTTTAAAAGAAAAAGTTACTAAAATATATACATTTAACCTTAAACTAATAATATACTATAAATTAATTGATGATGATGGCAGTATTATATTATTTAAAAGAAAACTTTTAAAAACTTATAAAACTTAATTATAATTAAACTAGATTATATCATCTTTATTATTGATGATAAACATCAACTGAAAATCTGTTTCTATAAAGTTTTTTAATTATGTTTGTGTTTTTACTTTCATATTTTTTTCAAATATTTCATAATCGTTGACTAGAGACGGTGTTATTTAAAGCTGTTTCGATTTACTTTAATATAATATAAATTTTAAAACTTCTAAGTTTTGTAACGTTGATTTTTACTATCTGAAAGTACTACCTGAAAGTAGTTAAAGGATTACCACAAATTAACAAGTGCTAATCGCACGATGAGTAGCATTTGTAGTTTCTTTTTGACCATTGTAGCCAAACAGCAAAAGAAATTTCCGTATTCTCAAACCTAAATGCAAGTTACTTTTCCATGAAAAATACAATTCTCTCTGACGGTATTTAATTTTGATTTTTCCACAGAATGTTTAGCGTAAAGAAGTTGTTTGTATCGAAACTTTTTTAAAGGCAGCACCAGTATTGTTACTTTCTTGTAATTCTGTACAATCAGTGTAACAGCGTTAAAGTAATAAAATCCTAAAAATATCAGTAAGGCAATTTATATTTTTATAAAAATTATGGTAAGAAAGTATTCTTGACACAAATATAAACACATGCAAAATTGGATTTTCTAAAACTATTTTAATCATTAAATTTTTTCATTACTTGCAAAATTATTACAATTTGAAATGCTGTTACTTTATTAAAATTGTAACTATGTCTTACTTTATTCCATGCAGCTGTAACATTATTTATCCATATTCCATATTCGGTTAAATTTTCTCCTTCGTCTACAATTTTCACTGCATTGCTGTCTTTTTCTTGAAGGAGGAGAAAATCCTATATTAAAATTCGAAAAAATGTCAGTCTTTTCAATGCAACTGCACACAGACCTCAAATAAGCGATTAACCCTGCATATATCACAAAGCCTTGCGAAGCCGTTAAAGAATTTCAATTTGCAATATTTTTAATAAGAAATGATGATATATTCAAACGTTTTAAGAGTTTGTCTTACATATTTATAATCTTAAGTAGCAGTTTAGTTTTTCATACTGAATTATTATATTCTTGATTCTGTTTACAAGTGACATTTTAATTCACTGTACAATAATACAATTCTGATTAGAAAATCGCTCTATTAAAATAATCTTTTCCGTTTGGACCTGATTCTTGTTTCGTCAAAGTTTGTTTTAAAATTACAGTTTATAATAACAATACGTTTCCGAATAAAATATTAACATTTTTCAAGTACAGTGAAAACTGCTTAGGTGACCACCTGCATTTGACTGTCATCTGTCAAAACAAGCAAAAATTTCTGGCACCGAATAGTTTATCCATAGAGTCTTCGTATAAGTTACCTGTATTAAACGACCACCTATGTAACGCGACCCAGGTCATCGATTTTTGGTCCGAAAGAACATATGACAACTGTAATAATCGGACACTTCCGTGAATATATCTGGTCTAAACTATTGTTCAACAACGTTTCCGAATAAAACATTAACATTTCTAAATTATTTCTAAATTTATTGTCTAGTAATAAAATTTTAAAGCAATATTTTTTGAAATTGTTCATTACCTGAAATCTTTTCAACGAAACCAAAATTTCTGCCACTATATTCAGTGCTAGAGAAAATAACTTAAGAGTTTTAGTGTACATATGAAAGGAAAATGCCATAGTGACAAATATAATTTCGGCATTTAATTGACCACCATTTAAAAAGAATGCAAGGTATGTGAGGGAAGAAAATAATTTTGTCATCGGATATGCCAATATTAATGTTATCTCTCTTGTATACAAAAACATTCGAACTTTCTTCATTTCTCTTCTGCAAATATCAACAAAGAATTAATAATAATTTTACAACTTAAAAAAAATTATTTTAAAAAAGTAATTTGGCGTGACAAAAAACAGTAAAACTGCATACACCGATAACATATAGAGTCGTATATTTTTATGATTTCGCAAATGATTCATTTGCAAGAAGAGTTCTTTTAGGGACCGTTCATAAATTACGTAAGGGCGATTTTAACCATTTTAAACCCCCACCCACCCCTGTGTAAGAAACCGTGATATTTTCTTTGATCCCCTTCTTTTCCCTATTTTACGTAATATTTCGGCATGATTTTATAGAAAGATTTTAACCAAAAAATGTTTTTTATGAAACCCTAAAAACGTTAAATCCAAAATATATAATTATTAATTAGTTAATTAATATGTACTATTATTTATACAGTATAAAGCTTTATATGATCAAATTTAAAAATATGAAATGAAATTTAATAAATTCAAATGAACAATTTATTTTAAGAACTTTANTATGTTATCGACTCAATTTCATATTTATTTTTATATTAATATTAATTTTCACAAAAAACGCAAAAAAACTTTCCCAGGTTGACTAGCCAGTGCACGTGTAAACAGAAACGTCATAAGAAATAAAACAAGAGAGAATAGAGAGAAACCACATTACGTTGCCATATTGATTACATGATTTACATCTGAGGCCAAGAAAATAAACTACATGCTGCTAAAATGTGCTAGGTGCACCTGGGGACTAAATAATAAAGCTTATAAAACTCTATATAATGGGACAATACAACCAATGCTACTTTACACAGCCTCTGGCTGTGGTTCACGTAACTAGTAGAAATTCAGTAGCAAGTAAATTACTCTCTCTTCAAAGCCAGTTTGACATCAGAATTTTGAAGTGCTGCAGAACTGTTTTTACTAATGCCTCTGAAAAAAAAGCTAGTACTAGCGAAGCTCCTTCCTTTGCCACTATGTATTGTAGAAAAGGTTCTAAACTACTACATCAGAACTACAAACATCGAGGCTCAACAACGGTCTCTACTCCTATCTACGGCAGTTCATACGCTACCACATTGCAATTACTTTACTATCTCTGATCATCATCCTGTAAACAAGGTTATTTGGTGTCATCTGCTTCTTCCATAAATAATCATGCAGACATTAATATATACACAGATGGGTCCAAAAGCTCCCTTCTTGTCGGCTCGAGTATCTGTATCTTCCTCCAAACTAACATATTATGCCCAAAATATGTTAGAAGGTACACATACCTTCCACATACCTCCATCTATCAAGCTGAAGAAGATGCCGACTACCCACGCTGTTCAGTGGGCCACATAACTACCAAACGAAACTGTCTATCAACATTTACAGCGATTCTCAGTCTGTCTTACAAGCTCTATTATATCTCAATTGCCGTAGTAATAAAATCCAACATATCCAGCACCATATTACGAACCATGTAACTAAGATAACTTTGATATTTGTTCTTGGCCATACTGGCAGACTAGGAAATGAAAACACCGACTTTGAGGCAAAGTCAGCTGCAAAGGACACTGATTTGGAGTACACTCGTATCCCTCTCTCACGTAGAAGCCTTAAAAATTATATTCAAGTCAACGCTATACAAAAGTGAAATCAGTAAAAGTAGTCAAGCAGTAAAACTGGTAGAATGACAAGACTTTATTTTCCTAGTGTTGAATGTAGGTTCTCATCACCACGTAGATATTTAACGTTTGCTACTGCTCAACTACTTACTGAACGTGGTAATTTTAGAAGCTACCTGGCGATGTATAACCGGGCAGAAACTGCTTCTTGCTTTTGCTCTACAGAAAACCTGCACACCGTCGACCATATGATCTATCATTGTCCAATTTACGATCAAGATAGACTTATTCTGAAATTAGAAATTTTAACGCTTGGTTTCGGGTGTCTACTCAATAAGCTTGTTCAGAAACCATTGTTTCATGCTTTTTACAATTATGTTCAAAAATATGGAAGAAAGACTATTTCTAATTTTTAATTTCTAGTTTTACATTTTAGTTTCAGTAAAAGCCGAATACTAATTTTATGTTTACTTTGTATCGTGTATTTTGGTTCATGCATTCTTAGTGTTATACACCGATAGGAGTGGTGCACTTATTCTAGTAAAAACCAAGAGAGAGAAACCACCACATGGCCTTTCTCCCATGAAAAAGGTGTGTACAGCGTGAATCTGCTAGCGTTATTACTATATCATGTCGCACGAGACAACGAGCATTCTTAATAGAAGCCGCCAAATTTAAGCCAAATTCAAAACGCCACCACTCAACGAGATCAAAAAATAAAAATAAGAATATTACGTAAGACGAGATCTATTACCCCCTACTTCTGAGTAAGAAATCTTGAGAAATTCTTGACCCCGGCCACCCCAAAATACCTTACGTAATTTATGGATGGCTCCTTAAATACAAAAATATTCATTATAGAAATATATTCCGTTTTGGTTGAATCATTTTATTTATTTCGGTGTTTCACAAGTTTTACTGTATTTACAAGTAATTACTAAACTTACTCTCTGATTTTCTCTATTAACGCAGCATACGGCATTTCCCAGGTGTACATCTTAATTAATCTCATACCAGCAATCATCTCGTTCAACAGGTTCAATCTTTCGTCTCCCAATATAGCTGCTTGTAATCTATCATTATTAAATAATAATTCGAATATACATATGCTTTGTTGTAAAAATATATAAAATTAAATCGTAAAGTTTTACTAAATATTTAAGGATAATCTTCTATTAATTAAACCAAAGACTTTTATTGCAATTTCTGTATTTAGTGAATTTAAAGATTGTAAAATTTTTATAATTCTTACAGATAAAATACAGTTTTATTGATATAAACCGGATCTGAAAATTATTTTTTGTTATTGGTATCGCAATACGTATTATTTTGATTTTATTTAATTTTCAATTTATCTTTGTTGAATGATAATTTCTTTTGAAACCATGAACTCGGACACTATTATCTACGTAATTACACATTTTGTAATGTTGACCAATCAAATTTTTTTTATTTGTATCTGCAGGCCATATTCAGTATAATGCATATAAATAAATTTGACTATTATAGACAGATAGTCCGTTATACATAGTTGGACTTTGCATAATTTACATATCTACATACTCGGTTGTGTTAGTCATAATTATAAATATACTATTTATATGTTATATGTATGCAAAGGTTAGACCAAAGATCAAACAGACACACATACACACACATCTACAGTATTAGTCGAGTGATGTACGGAAAAGAGACACTGTAAACATCAGTCCGAATATTTCTGACATTTGTCATTTTAATTGGACCCTATTTACAATTATTCGCTCTCACTATTTATGAATTAGTTTTCGCAACAACTTGTAGACTTACACTTCACTTAACTTGTTGACAACTTATACAAAACCATTTTATAAATTGTAAAAACATTGAGTAGCATTTGATTATAAAATAAAAAAAATTATAGTCTAAATTTATAATTGAAATTTTCAATCCTGTGATATTTCAAAAGAGTTGTTTTACTATGATACATTCCATATAATTACTATATTTGACGACAAATAGATTCAAAATTTTAAGCGCTGAACAATCTATTAGAAATGTGGTTTCTCAGAGACCAGACAATATTTTAAAAACTCGATTTTTTCAATTTTTGAAAATATCGAAATCTATACTAATATTATAAAGTGGTAATGTTTGTATGTATGTATGTATGTTAGTTTGTATGCAGCAGGTAATCTCCAAAACTACTCATCCGATTTCAAAAATTCTTTCACCAATATTTAGAATTGAACTTCAGGGTGGACATAGGCTGTATATTATTCCGTTAAACATGGGAGATGGACAGTTCTTACCGTAAAGAACTTACCGTAAAGAACTCTGCTTCTATTTATACTATTTTAGATGCGGTTTTTTGCGTTTTTTATTGCGTTTTAATAGGGTACGTCAACAGAATGTACACAAAAAAGGGATTTTTCGATATTCCCTCCGCGGGGGAGAGCGACAGGATTAAGGCTTACTGTAAAGAACTTGGCTTCTATTATACTATTTTAGATGCGGGTTTTTGCGTTTTTGATTGCGTTTTAATAGGGTACGTCAACAGAATGTACGCTAAAAAAAATTTTTCGAAAAATTTTCCCCCACGGGGGAAGTGTTATACATTTATAATAGATACATTTTGAGCCACAACAAGGCGTGGCGGGGTCTGCTAGTAATCAATAAACTCCTGACTTTTGAAGTTTCGAAAAATGAAATACATACAGTTTCTATTACGTGACGATATTGTAAAAAAAGAACACCGGATTCTCACAGATGCAGTGCAACAATTCCTGTTGTATAGAATTTGCATGAATTTCGATGCAGCTTTACGTTTATGTGCTGCACGGTATTAACACAGTTCGTAATAATATCAATGTAGAGTGAATATATAATTAATACTATTACTCACATACACCAATTTTTTTTAAATGACTTATTGGGATATTTTTATCCCAATAAGCTATGGCGTTTACTTTTAACAATGCTAATTTTTCTCCTAGCTTTGTCTCATTGCTTTCATCTTATCAAAACATTAAAAAAATTTGATAAATCCAATTTTGCAAGAATAAAGATTTATGTGTGTAACATAAAAGTATCATTCTGTTATCATGCATCATGAGATTATTTAGAAACAGTATTAGGATTGTTTCAGTTGCAAAGCTTTGAACTTGCGCATTTGTCATCATGTAATTTGGCGAATGTCCTGCGCTCTACACATTATCTTTTCCATAGATTCATTTCTCATATTGTAAGAGATGTCAGGTAATATTTTAAAAACTCGATTTTTTTAATTTTTTAAAAAATTTTTGAATTTTTGAATATTCTCCAAATATTCTTGTTTCAAAAATACACTACAAAAATTAATGTTTTTAGAAATATCTTGAGATTTTAATTTACGTATTTAATTTTCGAAAGTGCGAAATTATATGCAAAAATATTAAACAAAAACGTGTAGAATTCACTCCAAGCAATATTACTTGTTAAATGTAAAAGTAACATCCTTTTTAATGCAACAAAGATGATACATTTATTCCACTTTTAAACTAGAAAAATATTTTAATTATAGACTCATAAAACGATTAGCAGTTGATGTTATTCACAGTGGGCGTGAAGCAAAGTCAATTACTTATTGAAGCAAAAATGAATAATTATTTATAATCCTCACCCGAAAGTACAACTACTCGTGAAATTCCAAACTAACCTGATGTCAGTCAGCATAACTTCAAATATTTTTTTCATCAAGTTAAAATTTCATGTACAGGTAACCCCCGTATAACACGGTAGTTACGTTCCAAAAAATTGCCGTGTTATGAGAATCAAAAAACTAGTACGAAAAGGAGGGTTAGCTTCCAAAAATTAAAAAAAACATGCTACTATATTTTCATAATTAAGTTAAATATCTTTATTAAAATCTTCTTAAGTGATACATATTAATATAAATTTAAACAATGTTTTCTTTGTCATCACTAAAAGCACTATTAACTGAGAGCGTTTTATTTTTGGCAAGTTATCGTTATCTCCGGAGTGTTTTTCTGCATTATTTTCAGATTCATGCTTTACCTTTTGCAAAAAGTGTATGTAATTTTAGATTGCTCGCTTTTAGTTAAAAGATCTTTATAAATTTTCTTATATGCTGCTAAGCATTTATGGAATAAGGGAAAAACATCTGGCAACACCAGAAGCAGGAGCGTCGAGATATGGCAAAATTAAAACAATTTTCGCGAAGGACCATGTGTATGAAGACGAGAAAAGAAAATTTACACACTGAAGTACTAATAGTTCACGAAAATAATAATTTTCGCGAACTATTAGTACTTAAGTATATAAAAATTTATTACGTTTCATGTTGTACGAGGGTTTTACCCATTTCTCGAACTGTGTCAGAGTGAATCCGTGCTATAAAAGTACCGTATTAAAAGTAAATTTTCCCACAAAAGCTTGACCATTTAAATAATTCATCTGACTCTCATCACGATTATTTTTAAATAGTATCAAATAATGTGTATTTAAACTTAAATCTCTCATAATCTTATTTTTCGGAAACAAATTTTGCATTATTAAAATCACACTCATTACAGTGATGAGATTTTGTCCTAAACAAAAATGCTGTTTTTGGAGACAGTTCGTGCATCAGATCATCGATTATTATCAAATCCCATTCTTGAACAGATTCGGGTAAGCCGTACATAAATGTAATATCCTTTTCTTCTTGAAAAGACGGTAAATATACGAAGTAACACCATAAAATCTTCTTCGGATGATTTTCATAACTTTTGTTGTAAATCACTTTCTTCAGCAATGTGGTTTTACCAGATTTGGAAGGACCAGCAATTACACAAGTACTGGGATGTTTGAAATACATATTAATTAACCTTGTCAACCTTAGAAAATTTAGAAAATTTATAATATTTTATTCCTGGACTTATCTCTTTAAACACTACTAAAGTTTTCTTATCATTTTCTAAACATATTTCTCTCATGTCTTCCGCACACCATTCGAACGAACCATATAATCCATTACATAGTTCGTTAATTCCTCCATCCTCTCCAACAATTATAAAACCGTATTTTCCTTCTCCTTTCCAAATATCTTTGACTTTGAAATAGCGGAGGATAAATGGAAAATTATCGGTAACATCGAACGAGAAATTTTTTACTGCACAAACGCAAGCGTTCAAAGTACGGTACAGAATTGAAGAAGATGAGTATATTTTATAGTTTCCATAAGTAACCAGAAAACCGTACAACCTCATGATTGCAGCTGAAATATAAAACTAATTCTCTTTAAAAAAGTAACTTATATAAAATACTAACCAATAATATCTTCTTTAAAAACTAACAGCCAATCATATTTTTCTTTAAGAGCAAATCGTTTTTTTTAAACTCAAATCGTATATTATCTGCAGATAAAAAAAATACTCACAGTCACATGTTGTTATTTGTTACACTAAAGCGCGGGACTTTGAACAAAGAAAGCAGCACGGGGTCCCAATCCCATCAGTTAGTTTAGGGTACGAACTTGTACTACAGGGGGTGCCAATTTTTGTTATCGTTTTAATTCGATTTATATTAAATTCTTATAGAAATTAAATATACAGTGGTACCTCGGGATATGAATGCCCCAGCATACGAAATTTTCAGGATACGACACGAAATTCGATCTTATTTTTGCTCCACGATATGAACAAAAACTCACCATATGCTGTTACATTAGTTCGCAGCGCCATTTTTTATTCACTTCTGTTCAGTCTGCGAGTTTGCTTTGTCGTTAAAGGATCTCGCTCGAAAAAGGAAATCTTCAGGTATTATCAGAAAGTGACTTGTTTTATTAAAAAGAAACATCCTGAAAAGGTTCACACTGACCGTATTGCTGCTCGGAGTAATGACACTTTAAGTCATTCTAAGTCATTTTAGAAACATTTTAAAAAGTAGGCAAAGCCAAACCTCTTTGGATAGATATTTTACCAAGCGACCTCTATCCAGTGAAAGTGCTAGTGGAAGTGAAGGAAAGAAAGCAAAAAGCAGTGAACAAAAATTTTAAAAAAATATATATATATAAATACAATACTNCACTTTGCTTTTTGCACTGATGGCTCGT